TTTTGGAATGTCAAACTAATAATATGTCAGTCTCCCAAATATTTGCTGATCTTTCTCTGGGGTCTTTATTCCATTGCATTGGTAGATTTTTCCAGCCCTCATCAATCTCACTGCCTGGACAGCTATAACCTCAATAGGTTGAGTCCAACATCACTGTTATTGTTCTTCTCCCTCCACTCATTCTTAATTAGAATTCAAATATTTCTTTCCTATTTTTACCTTTATTCTTCCCTGTGAACTTTAGTGTCTCTTTATAACATTCTATGATGCGAAAGCTCTGAAGTGATCTAAATCTATTTAGAGACTTTATGCACACTAGTTACTGTGAATGTTCAAACATTTAGCTATGAAAATATTACTGTAGTTGAAGACAAGACAATACACCCAATTTAATGGGGGTGCTATATAATATACAGTACATTTGTTTAATAGATTTTTATTGAAGTATCTTATATAGAAAATGCATAAATTATAAGCATACAGTTCTATGAATTCTCACAAAGTGAACCTACCTTGAAACCACCATATAGATCAAGGAAGACAATTAAAACTACCCTGAAAACTCCATTGTAACCTCTCCCAAAGGAAATGCTATATTGAACTCCTGACACTAGAGATTAGTTTTGCTGTTTTTAACTTTTCTAAAACTTTAATTGTGTACTATACTAATGTAAAAATAGGGGACACTGGATGTGAGGTATATGGAAACTATTTGTACTGTCTTGGCAATATTTCTATAAATATAAAATTTTTTTAAAAAGGTTTATTAACTCAAAACTGAAGCCACTCCGGAAGTTCACCCTTCAGCCAAAGATTAGACAGATCTATAAAATAAACAATAACACACATGAGGAATGTGCTTCTTAGTTCAATCATGTTTATGAGACCAAAAGGACAACACCTGCCCAAAAGCAACAATGAGAAGGCAGGAAGGGACAGGAAAAATGGACAGATGGAAACAGGGAATTGGGGTGTAGAAGGGGAGAAGGTTGACACATCACAGGGATTGCAACCAATATCACAAAACAATCTGTATATAAATTGTTGAATGAGAAACTAATTTGCTCTATAAAGTTTAACCTAAAGCACAATTCAAAAAAAAAAAAAGTAACTTTTATATAATCAAAAAAAAAAAAGTTTTATTAACAATGTTCCTTAGGTTTGGTTTCTTTCACTCAACATAATTATATCTGTGAAATTTATCTAAGCTGTATGTAACCATATTTTATTCATTTATATTAAACAGTATTCCATTGTATTAATATACAACAAATTATTTTTCAGGTATACTAATGATGACATATATGTAGCTTTTACTGGTTTTGCTATAACAAATAATGCTGCTATGAACATTTTTGTACATGTATTTTGGTACATATATCTACAGATTTTTTTCTTGTAGATACAACTATGAGTAGAATTGTTTGGAAAAGAAAAGCAATATATTTCTAACTATCCCCTAGGTAAAAAAAAAAGAAGAAATTAAATAAAAATTAGAAGATATTTGGAACTGAATGGTAATTAAACTACAGTGTATCAAACTTGTGTGATTATCTAAAGCTTTGTTTGGAAGGATATTTATAGCATCACATACATGCTTTAGAAAAGTAGAAATGTTAAAAATCTAATGATAAAAGTATCCACCTCAAAAAGTTAGAAAAAGAACACTAAAATAAACCCAAAGAATGCAGAAAGAAGGAAAGTATAAAGACAATTTGATAAAACCCTGGCAACATAGATTCAAGGATAGACAGCAGAAATAAACAATATCAGAAATGACAAAGTAAACATCACTTCAGAGCCCACAAACATAAAATAGGTAATAAGGAAATATTATATGCAACGTAGTAGCAAAAAATCTGACAAGTTAGATGAACGACAAATTCCAAAAAAAAAAATAATTGACCAAAACATACACAAGAAGAAATAGAAAATATGAATAATCCTATGCTTTAGAAATAAAATTAAATACGTAATAAAAGTCTTTCAACAAGAAAATTCCTAGGATCAAAGGACTTTTTCAACACTTTTTACATGTACAATTCGGTGACATTAATTACTTTCATTATGTTGGGCAACCATCATCACTATCTAGTAACAATTTTTGATTTAATGCCTGCTTTGTATGATATTGAATCGACTCAACAGTAACAGGTTTGGTTTTGGTTTTGTATATCAGTGTCACTTTCTTTTGGTTCAAATTTCAATTCAAATTTTAATCTTTCTATATGAGTTGGAATCAACTCAAAGGCAACCAACAACAACATATCCTTTATTATATGTAAGGTGTTTCAATTGTAAGTGATTTTTGTTTTTAAATCTGGTCTAGTAATCTTTGACTCTTTTAATTGGACTGTATATTTCATTTACGTATAACTGATTGTGATATATTTTATTTGAAAGACTCTATTGTTTCTTTAAAATTTGTTGTTCCCTCCCTACTCCTGCCATGCTTCAGTGCGAGCTCAGTGTCCTGCCTCCTTGTTCTTTGAGCTTCTTCAGGTGACTTACTTTGACCATTCGGATGTGGGCAAAAGTCTCTCTGCCTCTTGCCCATCTATTTTCTGTCATGAGAACATCATTTCCTAGGTAACAGGTGCTCTTTCAGCCTGAGTCTCAGAATAAGAAGATAGGAGTAAAAACTTGAACTCATCCATCAGCCTGGAGCCAAGCTACCACAGCCTGTTTCCCAACTGCTAACAGACAATATGAACAAAATTTAAATATTTTTTTGTAAGTCACAGAGACTTGAGGCAGTTTTTTTAAAATAAAGTATAATGTAATGAAAGTTGATTAATATAGAAAATGGTACCAGAAATTTGATGTTGCTATAGAAAACTTAAAATATGTGGCATTGGCTTCTGGGCAGGGAAAATTGTTATAGCAGACTAAAACATAAATGGCAACCCATGCTGTGCATTGTCAAAACATTTTCTAAGATTAGCACCTGTGATAACTTAGAAAGCAGAGAAGGAATTTAATAAGCTTATGACTTTGTCCAATTATTGTAAAACAGAATGTTAATAGTTTTATTTGGTTGTATTTAGCTGCATATCTTAAGTACTATAAGATAGAAATGAGCTCAAAAAAAGAATAGGTCTGTTTGTCAGCAGGAATGAAAGAGAAAAAGGAGAATCCAGACATTCTGTATCCTACAGAGTTAAAATGTGACAGTGACTCATCTCTCTTTAACAGCCCTTGGTAATGTTGACCTATCACAGACTGTAGTGAAGGATCTGGCTTTCAGATCATATAGACCTTGTTTTACATTCCAGCCTAGCCACTTATTGGCAGTAAGGAGTTGTGAATTGGTTAAGAAAGACTGGGTTATGCTCTGATTACAAACAACTCCAAAATATCAGCAGCTTAAAAGAACAACTTTTCTTTCTTAATTATGCCACATATTCAATATGGGTGACCCAGGAGCTCTACTCAATGTAGAGTTAGTCATAGTCACTCAGAGTCCTAGACTGACGGAGTCTCCATCTCACCGCGTGCTTCCATGTGGCCGGAAAAGTGAACATATAAACAAGCGAGTAGCTTTCAGAAAATAGATGTGGTGTTGCCATGAGTCAGAATTGACTGGACAGCAACTAACAACAACAACAGACAACATTGAGTAAAGACAGTCATATTCCTGTTTTCTCAGAACCAGTATAAATAATCTGGTAGGGCTTAATGCAAGCTCTAAATTTTGAGAAGGATTACTAGCACCCAGCTACAGTAACATAGATGGAGTCCTTGGGTGGTAAAAATGGTTAACGCACTCAGCTGTTAACTGAAAGCTTGGAGATTCAAGTTCACCCAGAGGCACCTCAGAAGAAAGGGCTGGTGAACTACTTCTGAAAAATCAGCCATTGAAAACCTTATGGAGAACAGTTCTACTCTGACACACATGAGGTTGCCATGAGTTGGAATCAACTTGACAGCAGTTTTTACAGTGACATATAATCCACTATTTAAATGTTTGTACATCATTTTAAGTTTACATTTTAATGAATACTTATTAAACCATGAGTAATTTTATTAATTACTCATTTAACATCTCTAATAGCTCTATATGTGATTCAGGCACAAGGAGCTATGGTAGACATTGAAGGGGTGATAAAGTTGTCAAGGCGTGGTTACATGCCACAAAACGCTCATAAAGTCTTAAGCCTGCTCAGAATTGCTCTGCTAGAGAAAGGTTTACTTTTCAAACTGTTGGTGTTTTCTTTTTGTTTCTTTTGGTCTGTTTTGTCAGAAGGTAGCTTTTAAATGGAACAACCAGAACACAATTAGAGAATGTTGACACATTTTTCACAATGTGAATGTGAATGTGAAATGTAAATAACGCCACTCAACAATTTGTGTGGAAATTGTCAAGTGGGAACCTAAATTGCTGTGTAAACTTTTACCAAAAACACAACAAAATGTATTTTTTTAAAAAAAGAGAGAGAGAGAAAAAAAACTGCTTTTAAAGTATCATGATAACTTCATCCTGACATTTTTAATTAAAAATACTAGACTATAACTAATAATAACTAAAATTTATGGATCTTTAAACATGTGCCTGACATGTTCAACACACCTTTTAAACTTAACAAAGAGCCTTTGAGGTAGGTGTTATTATCCTACGTTACAGATGAAGAAACTGAGGCAAAAAGGTTAAACCTTACCCAAGTTTGCAAAGCTAAACAGTAGCAGAGCTGGGATTTGAAACCAAGCAGTTTAAATCTAAAGCCACGCTTTTCACCAGTAGGCTGCATTGCTTCTTTTAAAGTCTGGAGAGCTGGGCTCTGGTTCCATTTATTGTCAGTTCTAATCAGTTGCCCTTTAGGGGACTCTGATTTCTCATTCGTTCTTTCAGTTTAGAAATTATCGGAATTGTCCCTTGAAACAAAATCCCACATTTTACAGTTTCTCGTGTAACTGAGGTCCACAGCCCACGTGGAGAACATGCTTTCGATTAAAGAGGCTCTCCCTTGCTCTCTTTTTAATATCTTTTATTTCTCCCTTAGGTCTCTACAGAAGAAGGCTTGAGTCTGGCCCGAGAATATAACTGTGCTTTTTTTGAGACGTCTGCAGCCCTCAGATTCTGTATCGATGATGCATTTCACGGCTTAGTGAGGGAAATCCGTAAGAAAGAGTCCATGCCCTCCCTGATGGAAGGGAAACTGAAGAGAGAAAACAGCCTGTGGAAGAAGTTAAAAGGTTCACTGAAGAAGAAGAAGAAAGAAAACAGGACATGATATCCCTGCTTCTGACTCCCTCACTCTCTTTCTCGCTCAGAATTGTATTTGATGGACAATTGCAGATGTAGCATTCTGCTTCAGTATTCTGTTTGTCTCTTTCTCTTTAAATATCTGCTTGTAGATAAAAGCAAGATCTATAGAACTGTACCTCTTGAGATAGTTTTGTTTTGTCTTTAACAGTTGGATGGATTTTGTCAATCAGCCGGATATGCTGTTTAGTTTTTACAGTATATTACTAAATAAAATTGACATTCTAATTGCCTCATTTCACTTTAAAGAGGCTAGCTTCATTTGGTATGTGTCTGGTTATAGAGGAAATATTCAAAATTGCAGCCAGAATGATAACAGGCTCCAGGGATCTGCCTTTGCCTGATAAGACTCTGGATGTTTGCATTTCAGGAACCTCAGTAAATAATGAAGAAGCTCAGGATATAATTCAGAGACGGAGTCTGCAAGCTGATCTTTCCTCAAGTGGAGAAGTCATGGTGCTTCTTCTTGAATGCTCGAGAGAGAAGCCATAGGTGAATTATTAATAGTAGGAACTGGTTGTGGGCCACTGGAGACCTAAAAAGAAATAAAATATCCTCATATTTACAATGCTCTGCCCCTTTTAAGCTTTGGCAAAATTATCACAACGAAGTCACTGGGCTGTGGCAAAAGGATATTGTCATTAGCAGGATGAGAGTGGCTGCTATGAATCTGGTGGTTTACAAGTTCATCAAAGAACACACTGCTCTCAGAAAAGAGTTCCTTTTAGGACTGCTTTACCTGCATCAGAAATCCTGGTGGCATAGTGGTTAAGTGCTACGGCTGCTAACCAAAAGTCTGGCAGTTCAAATCTACCAGGTGCTCCCTGGAAACTCTATGGGGAAGTTTTACTCTGTCCTGTAGGGTTGCTATGAGTCCGAATGGACTCGACGGCAACGGGTTTGGTTTTTTTTTTTTGGTTTACCTGCCTCAGCACCACCTGCAAGGCAAGAAGTTTGGTGACTCCAGATGGCATACATTCTCCCTGTATTACTGAATTTCCCTCTCTCCCCTTACTCAAACCATGAAATGTCACCCGTTAAAGGGTTTATTTTGTTTGCTTGTTTTACAATGGTGTCATCATGTACAATGAAAATGCTCGTTCGCTCATTTCCCCCATTGTGTGAGTTGCCTTAATCAAATTCAAGCTCAGACAGGACAGTTCTGAATATTTAATAGACAAGCGTTGGGAGGAAAACCATAAAGCATTTGGAGGAAAACCATAAAGAATAGACAGCTAAGCATGAGATGGAATCGATCAAATCAATCTTCGTGGGGTGGGGGCAATTTCTATCATAAATAAGAGAAAAGGAGGGATAAGGGGCATAATTATCATTCAACATTCAATCATTTATTCTTTAACTCACAATGCCCCCAACACTTGCTAAGCTCTGAGAATGCAGGAGTGAACCAGATGGACCTGGGCCCTAACTTCCTGCAGCTTAACATCTAGCTGGGAGACTCAGCTGAAAGAACAGTGGATGGGATGGACGAGGATAATGGGATCCACTGCTTAGGAGACACTGAGTTTCTGTTAAGGGTAGTGGAAAAGTTGGACACAAATAATGGTGATGGTTGCACAACATGATGAGTACAACTACTGTCACTAAATTTCACATATGAAGAACGTTGAAATGGCAAATTTTTGTTACAAACATATTTACATTTTATATTACATTTTATAAAATGTGTTTACTACAATTTAAAAAAAAAGTTCTTCAATGAGAACTTAGAAGAGAAAAAGACACATTTTATATAGTAATATAGGTAAAGCTTCAAGGGTATATAGAGATCATCATTTTTCAACTGTTGGACTGAAAAAATCAGCCTTTCAGAAATTATACCTGAGGGTCCTTTTACTGCTTAGGCCCAAGCCCCTTTCTCAAGCCCATATTGACTTAATTGGTCTTGCTCCTATTATCTACTAACAGTGTGATAATTCACTGTACTTACTAACAGTCTTTTCTTAGTAGCTGCTGCCATTCTGTCCCTTAGCATTTTTTTCAACCTATATCTTCTATGGAGTGAGTCATAGGTTAAACAGTTTTCCCCATTCTTTACTGACAGCTCCCCTGCCTTTGACTTCAGAATTTTCTATCTCACTTCTCTCTTCTTCCTTCTCTTTCTTTGTATTCCTCAAGTCCTGGTAAATAATTTATGTTGTTTAGAAGTTCTCAGTGAGGTTTGGATAAGGGAAAACAGTTACAAAGTCCAACCCTTTCATTCCATAGAAGGAGGGAGGTCTGTAAATTATCACCCAGGGGGCTGAAAGAATTTGATCATCAGCACATGCAGAGGCAGACTTCAAGGTACTCTTTTAAACCAGTCTTTCTTCTAGAAGATTGGAGCAGAAGGAAATGTTCCAGAAGAATAAAAGCCAGACATTTCTGCACAATGACTATTGAACCACCCTCTTTGGTATAAGACAATTCTAGAAGATTGGAGCAAAAGGAAATGTTCCAGAAGAATATAAGCCAGACATTTCTGCACAACGACTATTGAATCACCCTCTTTGGTATAAGACAAAAAGATTAAGATCTAGTTTTTGATCACTATCCTTGAAAACCTCTAGGACAGCTAGATCAATCTGTAAAGCTCAGAGAACCACAATGTGCATAAGCTTGCATTGCCAAGCAAGTGTCAAGAAACTGTAGAACAGTAGGCTTCGATGTCCATTGTAGACTAATTAAAGACAATACATGGTCACTTGACACAATTAATCAAATAGTGACTAAATGTCTACTATGTACCAAGCACTTTTCTAGATACCACAAAGTATGCATGTGTGTGTGTTTGTTGACCAGGCACTAGGCAACTCTAAATGCAGCTCTTGCCCTCCAAAACTGTATCCCCTACCTATTTTAGGGTATATTTTTTAACTTATCTTGTGAGTCCCCATGATAAGATAATTTAATAATTTGTCACATCAGAGAAAAATGGCAGTCTAAAATTCTGCATTTGGTGTTCAGTAGGCACTAGTTGAGACTGGGAACTTTTATAGAAAATATCTGTGAAGAAAAAAACATGAAAAGTGGGACCAAACACTCCTTACATCTTGCTCAGGGGTGCAAGGAAAAGATATCTACTTAAATTTCTATATAATGCATCTGTTCTTGCTCACGAGCCCCTGACTAATGGGTAGCTAGGGAAAAAACTAAATTTTCGTTCAGTCTGGTACCTTAGTGCTAACTTGAGACAATAGTTAACAAATCTCTATAACTCAACCTCTGTCTTATGCACTCAGGTCAGTGTTTGATCGTTTAAAGTCCTGCCCTATTTACTTTTCTTTCCAAAATGGTATCTAGGTGTGGGAGAAAGGCATACCTTTTGTGACCTCATGGCAGTGAAGATTCCTCTTTTCATCTTCTAAGCTCTGAAGGATCCTCTGTGATATCTTTAAACAAGGCTAGCCCGGTTCTCTTTACCAACTGGTGGACTCTGGGGAGCATACAGGACAGGCAAGCTAGGTGATGATAAAAGAGCATTCTCTACTTGAGTCTATGAACTTGCCCTTTCACCTTTGGGTCTCAAGGTCACTCCTGCCACAGTCTTTTTATTCTGATTCCTGGGTCTCTCCAGTCTCATCTCTACCAGCACCTCTGGTCCCTTTGGGGATCCTTGCCTGCCATACACAGCCCAGGGATCTGTGAGCACTGCCTCAATAAAGTTTTTTCAGCCTTCTGCCCCCACCTCCGTGTAGCTCACGTGGGGCTTCCCATGGAGTCTAGATTCCTCCTAGTATTCCTTGGCAAAAGTGATATACCAGCACGGACCAATTAGAATGGATGCCACTCCAATCATAATAGAAACTTCTTGCCACCAAGCTGATTCCAACTCAAAGTGACCCTGTATCACAGAGTACTATTGCCCTATAGGGTTTCCAAAGTTGTAATCTTTGTGGAAGCAGACCGTCACATCTTAAGAGCAGCCGAGCTCTTAACCACTGTGCCACCAAGACTCCTCAACAGAATGAAGGTTGGCTATAAACAATAGTGTGTCCACACCACTCGGAAAATCTGTCACTAGCCCCAGTGTTCTCAGACTTCCCCGTGGCTGTTTATAAGCAACCTGCCAGCAAAGGGCCTGGGATCCTGTAGGGAGGGGATACTGATATGTGATCCATTTTCTCTTCTAGTATCTCTGATCTTCCACAAGCACTCTGCTGGAAGGAGAGTAGGCCACAGGTGTTCCCGTTCGCTAAGTACTCAAATGACAACATGCTAGGACCTAAAACAAACAAAAAACCGAATTTGGTAGTCAAAAATGAGATATGGTTTCCTTGTTTAAGAGGAGTTTCTGTTCTTTCTCTGAAGCACCAAAATCCATTGCTTCAAAAATAATAAATACATTCATACATACATATACACTTAAAATAATAGGGGAAACTGTGTGCAGAGGAGAGGCAGATACATGGGAGCCCTCTGTACTTTCTGCACAATTTTTACGCAAACTGCTTTATAAAACGTTTAGAGCAAACTGCTCTAAAAAAAACAGTGTGTTTAAAAAAAAAAAAAGATGGAAACCCCCAAGGTCAAGAAAAGTTTCAAGATATGGAAATATATTTTAAAATATTTCAAAACATAATGGTCCCTGTCTTAGTTATTTAGCGCTGCTATAACAGAAATATCAAAGTGGATGGCTTTAACAAACAGAAATTTATTTTCTCACAGTTTAAGGGGCTAAAAGTTTGAATTCACGGTGCCAGCTCTAGGGGAAGGCTTTCTCTGTTCATTCTGGGAGAAGGTCTTTGTCTCTTCAGCTTCTGTTTCCTGATTCCTTGATGATCTCCATGTGGCTTGGCATCCATCTTTCCCCTCTCTGTTTGCTTAATCTGCTCATTTTATATTTTGTAAGAGATTGACTTAGACACATCCTACACTAATCCTGTCTCATTAACATAAAAAGGACAACCCATTCCTAAATGGGATTATAATCACAGTCATAAAGGTTAGGATTTACAACACATTTTGGGAGGACACAATTCAATCCATAACAGTCCTTTCTAACTGTGCAGCATCCTAGACTCAGCTTTCTAACTACCTTTGTATAAATTAAAGTTGTAGCTCTTCTGGTTTGAGTCTTTACATGATATCAGGAGGTGCCCTAAAACTGACCTGGCCTAAATCCTCTCTCTTCCCAGCTCGCACTTGAACTTTTCTACCTGTCCTGAGGTTTCCCCCCATTAAATTTATATTTGGGGTGAGATGGTAAAAGCACAGTCCTTTCAGGCCATCCACT